CCCCCCCCCCCCCCCCGATCTGGGTCATCCATTAGGGCCCGTGTTGATCATCCTCAATCGTCCAATCTCGTTTGTTAGGGAAACAAATTTAGGCCATTCAATTGAAGATGCACAGACTATTCGATCGTGCTTATCCATGAAATCAATCAAGACCGTTTGTGCATGTGGGAGTAGACATGGCCGTTCGAATGCTCAAACACACGAATCGCTCGCATGGCTCCTGCATGGAGCCTGTGTCAACGTGTCCGCCATACGGCACATTCTGACTCGCTGTATTACTGGTGTGGCCATCCTACATTGCCCATACTTTTTTTTTTATAATTTGACCCCTATTTAAAAATTTTTCTTTTAAATATACCCCAATTTATTTATAGTTTTACTTTTTTTTTTTGTAATTTGACCCCTGTTTTTAAATTTTTCTTTCAAATATACCCCCATTTATTTATAGTTTCACATTGCTTTCTAAAATTATTTTCAATTTCATCCAAAATACATATATTTTAAAAAAATAATTAAAATTAAGCCCTACACTTTTTATTATTATTTTAAAAATAAATAATTCTTTGATCTATTTTCTCAATTCTTTCATTTCGACATGGCATATTCCATTGGGGTGTCAGAGTTACATTCGCAAGAAAGAGTGATGGATCCTTAAGATTGTGTATAAACTACAGAAAACTGAACATGGTCACAAGTGAGAACAAGTACCTCCTTCCCAAGATTGATAACTTTTTTATTAGTTACAAGGTGCTCAGATTTTCTCCAAGATCGACTTACATTTAGGATACCATTAGGTGAAGATCAAGGTAGAAGACATTCTTAAAACAGCCTTCAGGACCCGGTATGGGCATTATGAATTTTTTCTTATGTCGTTCGGATTAACTAATGTATCTGCAATTTTATAAATTTGATGAACATGATCTTCAGACCATTCTTAGACCTGTTTGTCATAGTTTTCATTGATGATATCCTAATTTACTCTAAGAGCATAGAGGAATATGTTAAACATCTGACTCATGCCTTACAGATTCTCAAGGAAAAGAAGTTATATGCAAAGTTGAATAAGTATGAATTTTGGCTTGAGTAGACTTCCTTCTTATGACATATATTATCAAAAGATGGAGTATTAGTAAATTTCAACAAGATTGATGCAATAATGGGTTGAAAGTAGTTGACTTCAGTAAATGAAATTAGAAGCTTATTGGGTATGGTAGGTTATTATCACAGGTTTGTAGAAGGATTTTCAAGTATAGCAGCCCTCTTGACACAACTCACGAAGAAAAATGTCAAGTTTGAGTAGAATGAAGAATGTGAAAAGAACTTTATAAAACTCAAGGAACGACTAACTACCGTACCAGTGTTGGCTCTACTGAATAGAACAGGTGGATATATAGTATACAGCGACGCGTCCTACCAAAGGCTAGGTTGCATTCTGATACAGCAAGGAAAAGTCATAGCTTATGAGTTTAGATAGTTGGAAAATTCATGAAAAGAATTATCCCAACCATTATTTGGAGCTTGCCACCATTATTTACGCCTTAAAAAGCTGACGTCATTACCTATATGAGGAAATATTTGAAATCTATATAGACTATAAAAGGTTAAAATATATATCAACCTAGAAGGACCTCAACATGTATTAAAGGCATTGGATATAACTCCTTAAGGATTACGATTGTAAGATCTTGTACCACCTGAATAAGGGTAATATGGTAGTCGATACTCTTAACAAGAAGAATATATGTATGTTAGCTTACATAATGGTCTCTGAGTGCAGGATGATAAAGGTCACACAACATATACAACTTCAAGACTTAAAGATGGTCATATGTCTAGCTTACTTAGCAGTCCCACTTGAATTAATTTAGAGAATAAGGGAAGCTTAGCTGGCCGATTTCACTCTAACAGCTCTCAGAAATGATACAAAACATGGTTTAAATTCAGAGTTTTGAGTTTCTACATATGAGTTGTTCAGGTTTCATGATAGATTGAGTGTTCCTAGTAATAGTGAGTTGAAGAGAGATATCATAATAGAAACTCGTTCGAAGTTCACCATGCACTTGGAAAACACCAAGATATACCAAAACATAAGGCCTGGTAGAGCGGGATGAAAAGGGATATTGTTGACTTTGTCTCTAAATGCCTCATGTGTCAACGGGTCAAGGTAGAGCATCAATATCCAAGTGGGTTACTTCAACCACTATCAATCCCGAAATAAAAATGAGAACATATTACTATAGACTTTGTAATATGATTGCCTAAGGTAAGTGCGAGACACGATGCGATATGGGCAATTGTTGATCGATTCACTAAGTCCTTCCACTTCCTAGCTGTCAGAATAATAGATTTCTTGGACAAGTTAACTAGAATTTATATTCAAGAGATAGTTAGATTGCTTGAAGTTCTGGTGACAATAGCATTAGATGGGGACTATAAGTTTACCTTTAGATTTTAAATAAGCCTTCAATAAGCAATGAGAACGAAATTATCTCTTAGGACAATATTCCACCCTCAAATAGATGGGTAATCGAAATGAACTATCCATACACTAGAGGATATGCTCAAAGCTCGTATTTTAAACTTCAACGGACACTGGAATGATCACTTACCCTTGATAGAATTCACCTACAATAATAGTTATCAAGCAAGTATCGATATAGTTCCGTATAAAGCATTATATGGTCGACCTTGTAGGTCACCAATCTGTTGGGAGGAAGTAGATGGATAAGAAATTAATTAGCTCAGATCTTGTAGATGAGACCATTGTAAAGATTGTCAAAATAAAAAAAAAATATTCAAACGACTCATAGTAGACAGAAGAGTTGTATAGATACCCAAATGAGAAATTTAAAATTGAGACAGATGATCGAGTTTT